AGATGGAGTGAGAGAGAGAAGATATATTTGTTTTTCTCCAATATTTGTAAACAAAATAAAAATACTTGATAGTGATTTACTAATTTTATTAATTAATTTTACTAATAAGGTAAATTTTACATTATTAGTAAATTTAAGTAATTTACAATAATATAAATTTAAGTAATTCACAGTAAACAATGTAAATTTTACATTATTTTTACTAATTTTTACTAATAAGGTAAATCAAATTTTACTAATTAAATACTTGAATACTTGATATCTTGAGTTTACTTCAGTGTAGGTGACTCTCCAGGATCTTGAGTTTACCTCAGTGTAGGTGACTCTCCAGGATCTTGAGTTTACCTCAGTGTAGGTGACTCTGCAGGATCTTGAGTTTACCTCAGTGTAGGTGACTCTCCAGGATCTTGAGTCTACCTCAGTTTACACAACACCCCAGGCTCCATGCCTCCCTGTCCCCTCGTCCCTGTCCCCTCGTCCCTGTTCCCTCATCCCTGTCCCCTCGTCCCTGTCCCTCGTCCCTGTCCCCTCGTCCCTGTTCCCTCATCCCTGTCCCCTCGTCCCTGTCCCCTCGTCCCTGTCCCCTCGTCCCTGTCCCCTCGTCCTGTCCCCTCGTCCCTGTCCCCTCGTCCCTGTTCCCTCATCCCTGTCCCCTCGTCCCTGTCCCCTCGTCCCTGTCCCCTCGTCCCTGTCCCCTCGTCCCTGTCCCCTCGTCCCTGTTCCCTCGTCCCTGTTCCCTCATCCCTGTCCCCTCGTCCCTGTCCCCTCGTCCCTGTCCCCTCATCCCTGTCCCTCGTCCCTGTCCCCTCGTCCCTGTCCCCTCGTCCCTGTCCCCTCGTCCCTGTCCCCTCGTCCTGTCCCTCGTCCCTGTTCCCTCGTCCCTGTCCCTCGTCCCTGTCCCCTCGTCCCTGTCCCCTCGTCCCTGTCCCCTCGTCCCTGTTCCCTCGTCCCTGTCCCCTCGTCCCTGTCCCCTCGTCCCTGTCCCCTCGTCCTCCCCACCATTCCCCCACTCCCTCGTCCGATGCATTCCCAAATGATCTGATGTTCCATCAGATAAATGGAAACATCAAATGATCTGATGTTCTCATCATTGAAAAATAAGTAGAACAGTTAAAAAAAACGGAATGAAATTGAACGAATGAACACAGCCGTTGTCAACACCAGACTGACTAGGAGACAAAAGAGAGGGTTCAGGTGAACACCTGAACACGACCACATACCCTGGGTAAAGAATTACACAGAAGCAGGTATAGATTATCTTAGAATAATACGATTAACCGGTCAGAGAATAAGGATGAAAGATTAAAGCCTCAATGAACTTATAATATATAAATATAATATTGAAATGAGAACTAAAACCCTTACAGAGTTTTTATTTAAACTATTGTGCAATATTGTAACTTAAAAATGGTTCAAGTTGTTCATACCGGTACTAACATTGATAAGATTTGGACACTGATTAAGGCAGTAAATCAAATTCCGTTCCACGAAACCACCGCAATTAGTAATGCTTTTCGCCTCATCCCACTTAATAGTGGGATGGGGCGAAAAGCACACACACTCTGGAGTGTATCCACACACTCGTGTGTAGATACAATGACCTAGACGTTTGGGCAGTTCTAATACTATAAGCATGTTGGGACAACCACAATTGTAAGGACTTTCCTATTTTGTTCTTGGTATCCAGGGTACAAAAAATATGTGTGTGTGTGTTAAGTAAGTTGATTGATTGACAGTTGAGAGGCGAGCCAAAGAGCCAGAGCTCAACCCCCCCCACAAGCACAACTAGGTGAGTACACACCGTCAACTCTACAGGACCACCGGAGAGTTGACAGTCAGGTCCCGTCAACTCTACAGGACCACCGAGAGTTGACTGTCAGGTCCCGTCAACTCTACAGGACCACCAGAGAGTTGACAGTCAGGTCCCGTCAACTCTACAGGACCACCAGAGAGTTGACAGTCAGGTCCCGTCAACTCTACAGGACCACCAGAGAGTTGACAGTCAGGTCCCGTCAACTCTACAGGACCACCAGAGAGTTGACAGTCAGGTCCCGTCAACTCTACAGAACCACCAGAGAGTTGACAGTCAGGTCCCGTCAACTCTACAGGACCACCAGAGAGTTGACAGTCAGGTCCCGTCAACTCTACAGGACCACCGGAGAGTTGACAGTCAGGTCCCGTCAACTCTACAGGACCACCGGAGAGTTGACAATCAGGTCCCGTCAACTCTACAGGACCACCGGAGAGTTGACAGTCAGGTCCCGTCAACTCTACAGGACCACCGGAGAGTTGACAGTCAGGTCCCGTCAACTCTACAGGACCACCGGAGAGTTGACTGTCAGGTCCCGTCAACTCTACAGGACCACCAGAGAGTTGACAGTCAGGTCCCGTCAACTCTACAGGACCACAGAGAGTTGACAGTCAGGTCCCGTCAACTCTACAGGACCACCAGAGAGTTGACAGTCAGGTCCCGTCAACTCTACAGGACCACCAGAGAGTTGACAGTCAGGTCCCGTCAACTCTACAGAACCACCAGAGAGTTGACAGTCAGGTCCCGTCAACTCTACAGGACCACCAGAGAGTTGACAGTCAGGTCCCGTCAACTCTACAGGACCACCGGAGAGTTGACAGTCAGGTCCCGTCAACTCTACAGGACCACCGGAGAGTTGACAATCAGGTCCCGTCAACTCTACAGGACCACCGGAGAGTTGACAATCAGGTCCCGTCAACTCTACAGGACCACCGGAGTGTTGACAGTCAGGTCCCGTCAACTCTACAGGACCACCGGAGAGTTGACAGTCAGGTCCCGTCAACTCTACAGGACCACCGGAGAGTTGACAGTCAGGTCCCGTCAACTCTACAGGACCACCGGAGTGTTGACAGTCAGGTCCCGTCAACTCTACAGGACCACCAGAGAGTTGACAGTCAGGTCCCGTCAACTCTACAGGACCACCAGAGAGTTGACAGTCAGGTCCCGTCAACTCTACAGGACCACCGGAGAGTTGACAGTCAGGTCCAGTCAACTCTACAGGACCACCGGAGAGTTGACAGTCAGGTCCCGTCAACTCTACAGGACCACCGGAGAGTTGACAGTCAGGTCCCGTCAACTCTACAGGACCACCGGAGAGTTGACAGTCAGGTCCCGTCAACTCTACAGGACCACCGGAGAGTTGACAGTCAGGTCCCGTCAACTCTACAGGACCACCAGAGAGTTGACAGTCAGGTCCCGTCAACTCTACAGGACCACCAGAGAGTTGACAGTCAGGTCCCGTCAACTCTACAGGACCACCGGAGAGTTGACAGTCAGGTCCCGTCAACTCTACAGGACCACCGGAGAGTTGACAGTCAGGTCCCGTCAACTCTACAGGACCACCGGAGAGTTGACAGTCAGGTCCAGTCAACTCTACAGGACCACCGGAGAGTTGACAGTCAGGTCCCGTCAACTCTACAGGACCACCAGAGAGTTGACAGTCAGGTCCCGTCAACTCTACAGGACCACCAGAGAGTTGACAGTCAGGTCCCGTCAACTCTACAGGACCACCAGAGAGTTGACAGTCAGGTCCCGTCAACTCTACAGGACCACCGGAGAGTTGACAGTCAGGTCCCGTCAACTCTACAGGACGGCTCCATCAACTCCTGCAGAATATATGCAAAGAAACTTGAAATGATTTTCTTGGAGTTAGGCCCAAGATGCTGTCGATAACAACGACCCAAGACGGTGCCAACGACCCAATCAGACGCTAAGGACCCAACAAGGTGTTGACACGACTCTCACATCCTGAGACACAACATCTGAACCTCTCCTGGCCTCCAGTATTTGCAATGAAGATATAATATACATATACATATAATATACATATACATATAATATACATATACATATAATATACATATACATATAATATACATATACATATCTTGGAATCCTGAGTGTGTCGTAGAGAAGGAATCTCTAAGCGATGATTTATATATATATATATATATATATATATATATATATATATATATATATATATATATATATATATATATATATATATATATATATATATATATATATATGACTAGAACATCGTCTATGGAACGTCTAGAACATCTGATGTTCCTACAGTGTTCTGTGACTGTCTGCTGCACCTCTGATGTTCCTACAGTGTTCTGTGACTGTGTCTGCTGCACCTCTGATGTTCCTACAGTGTTCTGTGACTGTCTGCTGCACCTCTGATGTTCCTACAGTGTTCTGTGACTGTGTCTGCTGCACCTCTGATGTTCCTACAGTGTTCTGTGACTGTCTGCTGCACCTCTGATGTTCCTACAGTGTTCTGTGACTGCGTCTGCTGCACCTCTGATGTTCCTACAGTGTTCTGTGACTGTCTGCTGCACCTCTGATGTTCCTACAGTGTTCTGTGACTGTGTCTGCTGCACCTCTGATGTTCCTACAGTGTTCTGTGACTGTCTGCTGCACCTCTGATGTTCCTACAGTGTTCTGTGACTGTGTCTGCTGCACCTCTGATGTTCCTACAGTGTTCTGTGACTGTCTGCTGCACCTCTGATGTTCCTACAGTGTTCTGTGACTGTGTCTGCTGCACCTCTGATGTTCATACAGTGTTCTGTGACTGTCTGCTGCACCTCTGATGTTCCTACAGTGTTCTGTGACTGTCTGCTGCACCTCTGATGTTCCAACAGTGTTCTGTGTCTGTCTGCTGCACCTCTGATGTTCCTACAGTGTTCTGTGACTGTCTGCTGCTCCTCTGATGTTCCTACAGTGTTCTGTGACTGTGTCTGCTGCACCTCTGATGTTCCTACAGTGTTCTGTGACTGTGTCTGCTGCACCTCTGATGTTCATACAGTGTTCTGTGACTGTCTGCTGCACCTCTGATGTTCCTACAGTGTTCTGTGACTTTCTGCTGCACCTCTGATGTTCCTACAGTGTTCTGTGACTGTCTGCTGCACCTCTGATGTTCCTACAGTGTTCTGTGACTGTCTGCTGCTCCTCTGATGTTCCTACAGTGTTCTGTGACTGTGTCTGCTGCACCTCTGATGTTCCTACAGTGTTCTGTGACTGTCTGCTGCACCTCTGATGTTCATACAGTGTTCTGTGACTGTCTGCTGCACCTCTGATGTTCCTACAGTGTTCTGTGACTGTCTGCTGCACCTCTGATGTTCCTACAGTGTTCTGTGACTGTCTGCTGCACCTCTGATGTTCCTACAGTGTTCTGTGACTGTCTGCTGCTCCTCTGATGTTCCTACAGTGTTCTGTGACTGTGTCTGCTGCACCTCTGATGTTCCTACAGTGTTCTGTGACTGTCTGCTGCACCTCTGATGTTCATACAGTGTTCTGTGACTGTCTGCTGCACCTCTGATGTTCATACAGTGTTCTGTGACTGTCTGCTGCACCTCTGATGTTCATACAGTGTTCTGTGACTGTCTGCTGCTCCTCCACTTTTCACAGACTCTAATCTGCATTTGTTTACCAAATCATTCACTTCAGCATGTTGTTATTTTACTGTGTAAATTAGGGACCTGGACCTCCAGTATCTTCCCATATGTATACTACGTGATCTCTCTCTCGTCTCCTTAACAGAGAGTACATTTCGAGAGCTTTGAGACGATCCCAGTTATTTAAGCTTTTGTCGTGTCTACGCGCGCCGTATACGTTCTCTGTATTCCTGAAATTATATATTAAGAAAATTCCCAGGGAATGATAGATCAATTATACATAGGCTGAAAAAATTGATTTAAAGTTTAATTAGAGTTAAAATTAAAGTAGAAATATGACTAACCCTAACCTAACATAGCTATGTCATCTTCTTAGTATAATAATAATATTTATTGAAACCTGTATATATATATATATATATATATATATATATATATATATATATATATATATATATATATATATATATATATATATATATATATATATATATATATATATATATATATATATATATATATATATATATATATATATATATATATATATATGTCGTACCTAGTAGCCAGAACACACTTCTCAGCCTACTATGCAAGGCCCGATTTGCCTAATAAGCCAAGTTTTCCTCAATTAATATATTTTCTCTAATTTTTTTCTTATGAAATGATAAAGCTGCCCATTTCATTATGTATGAGGTCAATATTTTTTATTGGAGTTAAAATTAATATAGATATATGACCGAACCTAACCAACCCTACCTAACCTAACCTAACCTAACCTAACCTAACCTAACCTAACCTAACCTAACCTAACCTAACCTAACCTTCCTTTATAGGTTAGGTTAGGTTAGGTAACCGAAAAAGTTAGGTTAGATTAGGTTAGGTAGGTTAGGTAGTCGAAAAACAATTAATTCATGAAAACTTAGCTTATTAACTTAACTTATATATATATATATATATATATATATATATATATATTATATATATATATATATATATATATATATATATATATATATATCTACATCACCAAGTTGTACTCACCTAGTTGTGCTTGCGGGGGTTTAGCTCTGGCTCTTTGGTCCCGCCTCTCAACTGTCAATCAACTGGTGTACAGGTTCCTGAGCCTATTGGGCTCTATCATATCTACACTTGAAACTGTGTATGGAGTCAGCCTCCACCACATCACTTCCTAATGCATTCCATTTGTCAACCACTCTGACATTAAAAAAGTTCTTTCTTTATGTGTATATATATATGTGTGTGTGTGTGCGAACAAGCCTGAACGATCTCCAGGCACTTACGCAACTGAAAACTCACACCCCAGAAGTGACTCGAACCCATACTGCTAGAAGCAATGCATCTGATGTACAGGATCCCTTAACCACTCGACCAACACGATCGAGTGGTTAAGTTGCATATATGCCTGGAGACCGTTCAGGCTTGTTCGCATTTGTGTTCCTCACGTGTGCCTCAAAGAATGAAGTGATTTGATAAAATGCTATGCCCAAGATTACTACCAGAGTGCCGGCGGGGGGATGAGAATTAGCCTCAGCTATCATCCTCTTTTGTCCGGTCGTGTTGGTCGAGTGGTTAAGGAATCCTGTACGTACGTCCATTGCATGTAGACTATTTATCCGGGTCAGTACACGGACAGTACACGGACAGTACACGAACAAGGGGACACGGGTGGAAACAGTTCACGTAAATTGAGTCAATGAGACATTAGAAATATTTGTGTTCCGCTTCAGAAGATATATTGGGAGGTGCTATAAAGTGGAGTGGTGGAGGCAGGCTCCTCCATACACAGCTTTATATATAAAGCCCAATAGGCTCTGGACGCTATATACCAGCCAGTTAAGAGTTAAGAGTCCCGACTCTTTACTAAGTGAGAGGCGGGACACAAGAGCTGAATCTCAAGTGAGGACACTTCATCCACTTGGGCTGGACGGTAGAGCGACGGTCTCGCGTCATGCAGGTCTGGGTTCAATCCCCCGAGACCGTCCACACAAGTGGTTGGGCACCATTCCTTCCCACCGTCCCATCCCAAATCCTTATCCTGACCCCTTCCCAGTGCTATTTAGTCGTGGTGGCTTGGTGCTTTCTCCTGCCTCTCCTCAATTTGTGAGAGAGAAAACATGCACTCCCTTGAACATTAGAGTGTAGAATGTCCCATATTGACTGATTTTCGCCCTCCGGGGCTCAGGTATGATGAACTCTGTAACTATTACATGAATACTGGAACACTTGATGATATATTGGACTTGTACCCTAGATTGACCATGTAAAATACATCTGTTATACAATGTATTGTACTTATACAATATCTAATACATCTGTTATACAATGTATTGTACCTATACAATATGTAATACATCTATTATACAATGTATTGTACCTATAACCTGAGCTTGTAAAAGCCTCTTAATCACCTTCAGTGGTTAAGTGTTTAATAACACACTAGTTTCTGTAGAAGCTATCTTACCCTGTCAAAGTAGGAGAGACATAGATGTATATATGTACTCACCTATATGTGCTTGCAGGATCGAGCATTGACTCTTGGATCCCGCCTTTCTAGCTATCGGTTGTTTACAGCAATGACTCCTGTCCCATTTCCCTATCATACCTAGTTTTAAAAGTATGAATAGTATTTGCTTCCACAACCTGTTCCCCAAGTGCATTCCATTTTTCTACTACTCTCACGCTAAAAGAAAACTTCCTAACATCTCTGTGACTCATCTGAGTTTCCAGTTTCCACCCATGTCCCCTCGTTCTGTTATTATTACGTGTGAACATTTGATCTATTTCCACTTTGTCAATTCCCCTGAGTATTTTATATGTCCTATCATATCTCCTCTCTCCCTTCTTTTCTCTAGTGTCGTAAGGTTCAGTTCCTTCAGCCGCTCTTCATATCCCATCCCTCGTAGCTCTGGGACAAGCCTCGTCGCAAACCTCTGAACCTTCTCCAGTTTCTTTATGTGTTTCTTCAGGTGGGGGCTCCATGATGGCGCGGCATTACTCTAAGACGGGTCTCACGTAGGCAGTGTAAAGCGCCCTAAAAGCTTCCTCATTTAGGTTTCTGAATGAAGTTCTAATTTTCGCCAGTGTAGAGTACGCTGCTGTCGTTATCCTATTTATATGTGCCTCAGGAGTTAGATTAGGTGTCACATCCACTCCCAGGTCTCTTTCTCGAATCGTTACAGGTAGGCTGTTCCCCTTCATTGTGTACTGTCCCTTTGGTCTCCTATCTCCTAGTCCCATTTCCATAACTTTACATTTGCTCGTGTTGAATTCTAGTAGCCATTTCTCTGACCATCTCTGCAGTCTGTTCAGGTCCTCTTGGAGGATCCTACAATCCTCGTCTGTCACAACTCGTCTCATTAATTTTGCGTCATCTGCAAACATTGACATGTATGACTCCACTCCTGTAAACATATCATTTACGTAAATTAGAAAGAGGATTGGTCCCAGCACCGATCCTTGAGGTACTCCACTTGTTACTGTTCGCCAGTCCGACTTTTCGCCCCTTACCAATATGTGTATATATGTATATGTGTGTGCATTTGTTTACTGGGTCAATGGAAGCTGGTCACAATTGCATTTCACCTTTGTAAACGCACATTAATGACACTATGTGAAAAGATACATTGAAACTGCTTATGTGGGATAGACGTCAATCTTTGTATCTATGTATTTATGTCTGTAGGTTAGATAACGATTTTATAAGCACTATACAATCACCTTGTGTGTGGTTGATTGTTCAATAACTCCCTGAACTATATGTTTAACACATCTCTCACGCTGTCCATGGAGGACTGAAGAAAATGTGTATATGCTGGTTAGCATTGTAAATGCCCGGCCACGTCTGTGGTAGAAAATAATAATAAAAAAAAATGTCTCCACTCTTCACTCCAGACCCTCTCCTCTCCTCTCACTCCTCTCCCCCCCCTTCACTCTCTTCCTCATCCCTCCCTCTCTCCCTCTCTCCCTCCCTCCCTCCCTCTCTCCCTCCCTCCCTCCCTCCCTCCCTCACTCTCTACCTCCCTCACTAGGAAATAACATCATTACGGCCAGGAAGTGACTGGTGTTGACACCATGTCAACTGTTTCTATATACATACATAATATCATATATATATATATATATATATATATATATATATATATATATATATATATATATATATATATATTATATATATAAATATATATATATATATATATATATATATATATATATATATATATATATATATATATATATATATATATATATATATGCGGAAAATCCACAGAGAAATATGAAATGAGGTGAACGTTTCGGCTTTGTTAAAGCCTTTGTCAACACCAGACTGACTAAGGAGAAGGGAGAAGGGGGGAAGATATATAGGCCGACACCTGACCAACCCATCCCAAGGGTTGGTCAGGTGTAATTAACCAAAAACAGGTATAGCTTAGCTTAGAATGCTCTAATCAGTCAGTGTCCAAATCTTCTTAATGTTAGTACTGGAATGTACAAACTTGATCCATTTTTAAGTTATAATATTGCACAACAGTTTAAGAAACAACTCTGATAGAGAGGCTTACAATGTCTCATTATAATTGTATATTCATATATTGTGTGTTCATGAGGCTTTTCTTTAATCTTTCATCCTTATTCTCTGACCGCTTAATCCTCTTTGACCATTCTAAGCTAAGCTATACCTGTTTTTGGTTAATTACACCTGACCAACCCTTGGATGGGTTGGTCAGGTGTCGGCCTATATATCTTCCCCCCTTCTCCCTTCTCCTTAGTCAGTCTGGTGTTGACAAAGGCTTTAACAAAGCCGAAACGTTCACCTCATTTCATATTTCTCTGTGGATTGTGTGTGTGTGTGTGTGTGTGTGTGTGTGTGTGTGTGTGTGTGTGTGTGTGTGTGTGTGTGTGTGTGTGTGTGTGTGTGTGTGTGTGTGTGTGTGTGTGTGTGTGTGTGTGTGTGTGTGTGTGTGTGTACTCACCTAATTGTACTCACCTAATTGTGCTTGCGGGGGTTGAGCTCTGGCTCTTTGGTCCCGCCTCTCAACCGTCAATCAACTGGTGTACAGATTCCTGAGCCTATTGGGCTCTATCATATCTACATTTGAAACTGTGAATGGAGTCAGCCTCCACCACATCACTTCCTAATGCATTCCATTTGCTAACTACTCTGACACTGAAAAAGTTCTTTCTAACGTCTCTGTGGCTCATTTGGGTACTCAGCTTCCACCTGTGTCCCCTTGTTCGCGTCCCACCAGTGTTGAAAAGTTCGTCCTTGTTTACCCGGTCGATTCCCCTGAGGATTTTGTAGGTTGTGATCATGTCCCCCTTACTCTTCTGTCTTCCAGTGTCGTGAGGTGCATTTCCCGCAGCCTTTCCTCATAACTCATGCCTCTTAGTTCTGGGACTAGTCTAGTAGCATACCTTTGGACTTTTTCCAGCTTCGTCTTGTGCTTGACAAGGTACGGGCTCCATGCTGGGGCCGCATACTCCAGGATTGGTCTTACATATGTGGTGTACAAGATTCTGAATGATTCCTTACACAGGTTCCTGAACGCCGTTCTGATGTTAGCCAGCCTCGCATATGCCGCAGACGTTATTCTCTTTATGTGGGCTTCAGGAGACAGGTTTGGTGTGATATCAACTCCTAGATCTTTCTCTCTGTCTGTTTCATTAAGTACTTCATCTCCTATTCTGTATCCTGTGCCTGGCCTCCTGTTTCCACTGCCTAGTTTCATTACTTTGCATTTACTCGGGTTGAACTTCAACAGCCATTTGTTGGACCATTCACTCAGTCTATCCAGGTCATCTTGTAGCCTCCTACTATCATCCTCTGTTTCAATCCTCCTCATAATTTTTGCATCGTCGGCAAACATTGAGAGGAACGAATCTATACCCTCTGGGAGATCATTTACATATACCAGAAACAGTATAGGTCCAAGGACTGACCCCTGCGGGACTCCACTTGTGACGTCTCGCCAATCTGAGACCTCACCCCTCACACAGACTCGTTGTCTCCTGTTGCTTAGGTATTCCTCTATCCACCGGAGTACCTTCCCTCTCACTCCAGCCTGCATCTCCAACTTTCGCACTAGCCTCTTGTGTGGCACTGTATCAAAGGCTTTCTGACAATCCAAAAATATGCAGTCTGCCCACCCTTCTCTTTCTTGCCTTATTTTTGTTGCCTGGTCGTAGAATTCAAGTAACCCTGTGAGGCAGGACCTGCCATCCCTGAACCCATGTTGATGCTGTGTTACAAAGTTCCTTCGCTCCAGATGCTCCACTAGTTTTTTTCGCACAATCTTCTCCATCAGCTTGCATGGTATGCAGGTTAGGGACACTGGCCTGTAGTTCAGTGCCTCCTGTCTATCCCCTTTCTTGTATATCGGGACTACGTTAGCTGCTTTCCAAGTATCTGGCAGTTCCCCTGTTGCCAGTGATTTGTTATACACTATGGAGAGTGGTAGGCTCAGTTCTCTTGCTCCTTCCTTTAGAACCCAAGGGGAGATTCCATCTGGGCCTATAGCCTTCGTCACGTCCAACTCTAGTAAACACTTCCTTACTTCCCCACTGGTAATCTCAAACTCTTCCAGTGGTTCCTGGTTAGCTATTCCCTCACTTACCTCTGGAATTTCTCCTTGTTCTAAGGTGAAGACCTCCTGGAATTTCTTATTCAATTCCTCACACACTTCCTTGTCATTTGTAGTGAATCCTTCCGCCCCTATCCTTAATCTCATAACCTGTTCCTTTACTGTTGTTTTTCTCCTAATGTGGCTATGCAACAATTTAGGCTGAGTCTTTGCCTTGCTTGCGATGTCATTTTCGTATTGTCTTTCTGCCTCTCTTCTCATCCTGACATATTCATTCCTGGCATTCTGGTATCTTTCTCTGCTCTCCAGTGTCCTGTTATTCCTATAGTTTCTCCATGCCCTTTTACTTTGCTGCTTAGCTAGCCTACATCTTTGATTAAACCATGGGTTTCTCATCTTCATTTCTCTGTTTTCCTTTTGGACTGGGACAAACTTGTTTGCTGCGTCCTTGCACTTCTGCGTGATGTAATCCATCATATCTTGGGCCGTCTTTCCCCTGAGCTCTGTTTCCCATGCTATATCTGTTAGGAATTTTCTTATCCCCTCATAGTTTCCCTTTCGGTATGCTAACCTTTTGGTTTCGGTATCCCTCCTCGAGTTCAATAACCCTTCTTCAATCAAGTACTCAAACACCAGTACACTGTGGTCGCTCATTCCTACTGGGTCCTCAAAACCGATTTCTCTTATGTCGGAGTCGTTCAGAGTGAAGACTAGGTCGAGTCTCGCTGGTTCGTCATTGCCTCTCATCCTTGTGGGTTCTCCGACATGCTGCGTTAAAAAGTTGCTTGTCACCACCTCCAATAGTTTGGCTCTCCACGTATCCTCGCCTCCATGCGGTTCCTTGTTCTCCCAGTCAATCTTTCCGTGATTGAAGTCGCCCATGATGAGCAGGTGGGATCTATTTCTACAGGCAGCAGAGGCTGCCCTCTCAATTATAGTGTTAACTGCCTTGTTGTTGTTTTCATACTCTTGACTGGGTCTCCTGTCATTTGGTGAGGGTTGTATATTACTGCTACTACTATTCTTGGTCCTCCCATTGTTATGGTGCCTGCTATGTAGTCTCTGAACTCCTCACAGCCGGGATGGCCATCTCCTTAAAACTCCATTCCTTCCTTCTCATGAGTAGGGCCACTCCGCCTCCTCCTCTACCTTCCCTCTCTTTCCTTATTACTGTATACTCCTGGGGAAACACGGCATTCGTTATGATTCCAGAGAGTTTTGTTTCAGTGAGTCCGATTACATCTGGGTTAACTTCTTGTGCTCTTTCCCTTAGTTCACTTGTCTTGCTTGTGATCCCATCTATGTTCGAGTACATCACCCTGAAACTGACTCTCTTCTGCTTCTTTTCTGGGGGGGGACCTTTGGGATCTGGGGTGAGTGGGAGCTGGGGGGACCTGGCACGGGGGGATTGGTGGAGGAGGGAGGGCTTGGGGTGGTGGGGGAGAGGGGGAGGGTACAGGGGGTGGATAAGAGGGGGAGGGTACAGGGGGTGGATAAGAGGGGGAGGGTACAGGGGGTGGATAAGAGGGGGAGGGTACAGGGGGTGGGTAAGAGAGGGAGGGTTGGGGAAGCATGGGGGGAGGAGAGGCTGTGGGGGATAGGGGAGATGGGGGGGCTTGGGGGGAGAGAAAAGGGTGGAGGGCTTGGGGGGCGTGGGGGAAAAGGGATGTGTGTGTGTGTGTGTGTGTGTGTGTGTGTGTGTGTGTGTGTGTGTGTGGTGTGTGTGTGTGTGTGTGTGTGTGTGTGTGTGTGTGTGTGTGTGTGTGTGTGGGTGTGTGTGTGTGTGTGTGTGTGTGTGTGTGTGTGTGTTGTTGTTGTTGAATAAGACCAAAAGGGAAAGATTAATGATTCTAACCCGAATCTTCTCAATATTTCTTAATTCATATGTTTTTCTTCACTTCCGATGGAAGTTGAAAAATTAACTCTCCAAAGTTCATTTTCACACTATACAATAGTCTGACGCCTTGGGAGGCGTTTCGCAAGGTACTCTTTACATTTTCAAAGACAAATTTACAATGCTTTATTGTTAATTAGTGTTGATTGCTAGTCAAGTCCAACAACCAGTTATCACGTAACTACATGGCGGAGACATCCTTCTCGCAAGCCGGTCTGACCGGAAGAGAGGTTACAGGAGACCTTGTCGTCAAGAAACATGAAGAAGGTGTTAGATAGAGCATAGAGCAGCTTTATAACCCCTAAACTGCGCAATCCCTCTTCATCGCCGCTAGTTTAAACATAGTGTTATGACCTGCGTGGCTCTATTACAGCGGCCTCCTTCCCCCCTCCCCTAACTTTAACCCGCGCTGGAAACTAACCTGGAAGATTTGTGTGGTGTAAACTGTTGCTGTGTTGGGTGTAAACTGCTGCTGTGGTGGTGTAAACTGTTGCTGTGTTGGGTGTAAACTGCTGCTGTGGTGGTGTAACTGTTGCTGTGGTGGTGTAAACTGTTGTGGTGGTGGTGTAAACTGTTGCTGTGGTGGTGTAAACTGTTGTTGTGGTGGTGTAAACTGCTGCTGTGGTGGTGTAAACTGTTGCTGTGGTGGTGTAAACTGTTGCTGTGTTGGTGTAAACTGTTGTTGTGTTGGTGTAAACTGCTGCTGTGGTGGTGTAAACTGTTGCTGTGTTGGTGTAAACTGTTGTTGTGTTGGTGTAAACTGCTGCTGTGGTGGTGTAAACTGTTGTGGTGGCGGTGTAAACTGTTGCTGTGGTGGTGTAAACTGTTGTTGTGGTGGTGTAAACTGCTGCTGTGGTGGTGTAAACTGTTGCTGTGGTGGTGTAAACTGTTGCTGTGTTGGGTGTAACTGTTTGCTGTGTTGGTGTAAACTGCTGGGGGCCTCCCTGTGGGCGTCCCAACATGGCGGCCTCCGTGTGGGCCGCCGTATATACATTTATACCCATACATGTATACACATACATGTTTACAAATACATGTATACACATACATGTTTACAAATACATGTATACACATACATGTTTACAAATACATGTATACACATACATGTTTACAAATGCTAGAGGCTCTCACTAGGAGAAAAACATCGGTAGCATCTAAAAATATGCCAAGAACTTTAATTTATTATTTAAAACGCACGTGAGACCAAGTGATAAGTATGCAACTCTAGCACGAAACAACCATCTGATAACACATAAAACAGACCTAGAAATGGCAAAGAGATATACAGGTCTCGTTCTGGGCCCAGGAGACCGAGTAAGTCTTAGGGACACATAACCACATGCTTGCTAAGAAGAAGAGAGGAGACATGATCACGACATATTCGATCCTCAGTGGACATTAACGATATATCAGGCTTTTTTTATATATAGAATTGTACCGGAAGAATGGCTGAGTACAGCATATTAAAGAACATTGCCTTAAGTCATTGCCTTAGGCTAGGTTGGGAGAGCCGGGCTTGGGAGCTGAGGTTCGATCCCCTGTTGTGTAGTGATGGTGGTGGGTAGACAACATGGCCGCCTCAGCCAGCACTGTGCACACACAGACAGATAAGCTACGACCCTCTTTTATCTACGGGGAATGACGTCACACATCTCCAAGACAAATGACGTCACTGATCTTGGCGCCAAATGACGTCACTGATCTTGGAGCCAATAGCATCACATGTCTCATGAGACCAACAGCGTCGCGGGTCTCATGAAGCAATGATGACGCAAGTGATGAGGGATGATGACGCAAGTGATGGGACGCGACGCCTGGCAGAGACCTCGCTGGTGCATCTACAAGACATCATAGCTCTGTTGATCACCGATGACCATGCCACTAACTTTTGGGCAAACATGTTAACTTACATATTCAACCCACATGTGTCGGAAACACATACGCACACACACACACACACACACATACACACACACACACACACACACACACACACTCACACACACACACACACACACACTCACCACACACACACACACACACACACACACACACACACACACACACACACACACACACACACACACACACACACACACCACACACACACACACACACACACACACACACACACACACACACACACACACACACACACACACACACACACCACACACACACACCACACACACACACACACACACACACACCACACACACGATGTGTGTGTGTGTGTGTGTGTGTGTGTGTGTGTGTGTGTGTGTGTGTGTGTGTGTGTGTGTGTGTGTGTGTGTGTGTGTGTGTGTGTGTGTGTGTGTGTGTGTGTGTGTGTGTGTGTGTGTGTGTGTGTGTGTGTGTGTGTGTGTGTGTGTGTGTGTGTGTGTGTTGTTGTTGTTGAATAAGACCAAAAGGGAAAGATTAATGATTCTAACCCGAATCTTCTCAATATTTCTTAATTCATATGTTTTTCTTCACTTCCGATGGAAGTTGAAAAATTAACTCTCCAAAGTTCATTTTCACACTATACAATAGTCTGACGCCTTGGGAGGCGTTTCGCAAGGTACTCTTTACATTTTCAAAGACAAATTTACAATGCTTTATTGTTAATTAGTGTTGATTGCTAGTCAAGTCCAACAACCAGTTATCACGTAACTACATGGCGGAGACATCCTTCTCGCAAGCCGGTCTGACCGGAAGAGAGGTTACAGGAGACCTTGTCGTCAAGAAACATGAAGAAGGTGTTAGATAGAGCATAGAGCAGCTTTATAACCCCTAAACTGCGCAATCCCTCTTCATCGCCGCTAGTTTAAACATAGTGTTATGACCTGCGTGGCTCTATTACAGCGGCCTCCTTCCCCCCTCCCCTAACTTTAACCCGCGCTGGAAACTAACCTGGAAGATTTGTGTTGGTGTAAACTGTTGCTGTGTTGGGTGTAAACTGCTGCTGTGGTGGTGTAAACTGTTGCTGTGTTGGGTGTAAACTGCTGCTGTGGTGGTGTAAACTGTTGCTGTGGTGGTGTAAACTGTTGTGGTGGTGGTGTAAACTGTTGCTGTGGTGGTGTAAACTGTTGTTGTGGTGGTGTAAACTGCTGCTGTGGTGGTGTAAACTGTTGCTGTGGTGGTGTAAACTGTTGCTGTGTTGGTGTAAACTGTTGTTGTGTTGGTGTAAACTGCTGCTGTGGTGGTGTAAACTGTTGCTGTGTTGGTGTAAACTGTTGTTGTGTTGGTGTAAACTGCTGCTGTGGTGGTGTAAACTGTTGTGGTGGCGGTGTAAACTGTTGCTGTGGTGGTGTAAACTGTTGTTGTGGTGGTGTAAACTGCTGCTGTGGTGGTGTAAACTGTTGCTGTGGTGGTGTAAACTGTTGCTGTGTTGGGTGTAAACTGTTGCTGTGTTGGTGTAAACTGCTGGGGGCCTCCCTGTGGGCGTCCCAACATGGCGGCCTCCGTGTGGGCCGCCGTATATACATTTATACCCATACATGTATACACATACATGTTTACAAATACATGTATACACATACATGTTTACAAATGCTAGAGGCTCTCACTAGGAGAAAAACATCGGCAGCATCTAAAAATATGCCAAGAACTTTAATTTATTATTTAAAACGCACGTGAGACCAAGTGATAAGTATGCAACTCTAGCACGAAACAACCATCTGATAACACATAAAACAGACCTAGAAATGGCAAAGAGATATACAGGTCTCGTTCTGGGCCCAGGAGACCGAGTAAGTCTTAGGGACACATAACCACATGCTTGCTAAGAAAGAAGAGAGGAGACATGATCACGACATATTCGATCCTCAGTGGACATTAACGATATATCAGGCTTTTTTTTATATATAAGAATTGTACCGGAAGAATGGCTGAGTACAGCATATTAAAGAACATTGCCTTAAGTCATTGCCTTAGGCTAGGTTGGGAGAGCCGGGCTTGGGAGCTGAGGTTCGATCCCCTGTTGTGTAGTGATGGTGGTGGGTAGAGAACATGGCCGCCTCAGCCAGCACTGTGCACACACAGACAGATAAGCTACGACCCTCTTTATCTACGGGGAATGACGTCACACATCTCCAAGACAAATGACGTCACTGATCTTGGCGCCAAATGACGTCACTGATCTTGGAGCCAATAGCATCACATGTCTCATGAGACCAACAGCGTCGCGGGTCTCATGAAGCAATGATGACGCAAGTGATGAGGGATGATGACGCAAGTGATGGGACGCGACGCCTGGCAGAGACCTCGCTGGTGCATCTACAAGACATCATAGCTCTGTTGATCACCGATGACCATGCCACTAACTTTTGGGCAAACATGTTTAACTTACATATTCAACCCACAGTGTGTGTGTGTGTGTGTCGGAAACACACACACACACACACACACACACACAGGCTGCGGGAAATGCACCTCACGACACTGGAAGACAGAAGAGTAAGGGGGGACATGATCACAACCTACAAAATCCTCAGGGGAATCGACCGGGTAAACAAGGACGAACTTTTCAACACTGGTGGGACGCGAACAAGGGGACACAGGTGGAAGCTGAGTACCCAAATGAGCCACAGAGACGTTAGAAAGAACTTTTTCAGTGTCAGAGTAGTTAGCAAATGGAATGCATTAGGAAGTGATGTGGTGGAGGCTGACTCCATTCACAGTTTCAAATGTAGATATGATAGAGCCCAATAGGCTCAGGAATCTGTACACCAGTTGATTGACGGTTGAGAGGCGGGACCAAAGAGCCAGAGCTCAACCCCCGCAAGCACAATTAGGTGAGTACAATTAGGTGAGTACACACACACACACACACACACACACACACACACACACACACACACACACACACACACACACACACACACACACACACACACACACACACACACACACACACACACACACACACACACACACACACACACACACACACACACACACACACACACACACACACACACACACACACACACACACACACACACACACACCCACACACACACACACACACACACACACACACACACACAACCTCTAAAAACCTAGGTGTCAATAATTTTAACTGCACTTGCAACAGGCGGGATAAGGGGGGGGCGAGGCTACGATACCAGCCGGGCAACTTGTATTAAATGATAACGAAGCCGTCAGTCTGCGTGGGCGCTCACATAGTAGGTTTCTTGTGGCATTAAGATGCTATTACGGCCGGTGCTTGTCTGGGATACTGTCCCTCCCTTCTGTATAGACTGGTGAGCCATACCCGAGAGAGAGAGAGAGAGAGAGAGAGAGAGAGAGAGAGAGAGAGAGAGAGAGAGAGAGAGAGAGAGAGAGAGAGAGAGAGAGAGAGAGAGAGAGAGAGAGAGAGAGAGAGAGAGAGAGAGAGAGAGAGAGAGAGAGAGAGAGAGAGAGAGACAGACAGACAGACAGACAGACAGACAGACAGACAGACAGACAGACAGACAGACAGACAGACAGACAGACAGACAGACAGACACACATAACAAGATGAACATTAACACAAAAGTTCTCCTGGCCCCAAAAGTTAGCGGAAACGGGTCCTAAAAATATTAATTGGATATTATGATTTCTGAATCAGTGATTAGAAGGTAAAATTTTATGGAATTTTATTCCGTTTTGTTGAAAAAAGTGAAAATGTCGAGTGATGGATTATTGCTGAAAATGTTTGAGATATTAGGAAGGTGCTGTGCTGGGAGGTTTGTGCTCAGGTATGGTTAATGTAAGTCACATACCTGCCTCACACACCTGTCTTACATACCTGTCTCACACACCTGCCTCACACACCTGTCTCACACACCTGCCTCATACACCTGTCTCATACACCTGCCTTATACACCAACCTCACACACCAACCTCACGCACCTGTCTCACACACCTGCCTCACACACCTGCCTCACAGTGAGAGAAGAAGAGTAAGTGAGAGAAGAGAATTAGCTTCTCTCTCAGTAAGTGAGAGAAGAACAGTGATCTCACCACAAAAGTGATCTCACCACTAACAGTGATCTCACCACTAACAGTGATCTCACCACAACAGTGATCTCACCACAACAGTGATCTTACCACAACAGTGATCTCACCACAACAGTGATCTCACCACAACAGTGATCTCACCACTAACAGTGATCTCACCACAACAGTGATCTCACCACAACAGTGATCTCACCACTAACAGTGATCTCACCACAACAGTGATCTCACCACAACAGTGATCTCACCACAACAGTGACGGCCAAATTCTACCTGAAATATCAGGAGAAAAACATCAATATTTACAGGGACTTTGACCTTCAGCCAAAATCTATTATCCGCCTTTGAGCTGTCAAGCGGATTGGACTCGGAGCCCAATCCGAGTCCAATCCATGCCTCCAGGGTAGGTTTGGAGGCGCCAGGGAAGGTTTGGAGGCGCCAGGGAAGGTTTGGAGGCGCCAGGGGAGGTCTGGAGGCGCCACGGGAAGGTCTGGAGGCGCCATGGGAAGGTCTGGAGGCGCCAGGGAAGGTCTGGAGGCCCCTGGGAATTTCTGGAGGCGCCAGGGGAGGTCTGGAGGCGCCAGGGAAGGTTTGGAGGCGCCAGGGAAGGTCTGGAGGCGCCAGGGGAGGCCTGGAGGCGCCAGGGGAGGCCTGGAGGCGCCAGAGAAGGTCTAGAGGCGCCAGGGGAGGTCTGGAGGCGCCAGGAGAGGTCGGGAGGCACCAGGGGCGGTCTGGAGGCGCCAGGGGAGGTCTGGAGGCGCCAGGGGAGGTCTAGGGGCACCAGGGAAGGTCTGGAGGCACCAGGGGAGGTCTGGAGGCGCCAGGAGAGGTCTGGAGGCGCCAGGAGAGGTCTGGAGGCGCCAGGGGAGGTCTGGTGGCACCAGGGAAGGCCTTGAGGCGCCAGGGAAGGTCTGGAGGCGCCAGGGGAGGTCTAGGGGCACCAGGGAAGGTCTGGAGGCGCCAGGGAATTTCTGGAGGCGCCAGGGGAGGTCTGGAGGCGCCAGGGAAGGTTTGGAGGCGCCAGGGAAGGTCTGGAGGCGCCAGGGGAGGCCTGGAGGCGCCAGGGGAGGCCTGGAGGCGCCAGAGAAGGTCTAGAGGCGCCAGGGGAGGCCTGGAGGCGCCAGGGGTGGCCTGGAGGCGCCAGGGGAGGTCTAGGGGCACCAGGGAAGGTCTGGAGACGCCAGGGGAGGCCTGGAGGCGCCAGTGGAGGTCTGGAGGCGCCAGGGAAGGCCTGGAGGCGCCAGGGAAGGTCTGGTGGCGCCAGGGAAGGTCTGGAGGCGCCAGGGGAGGCCTGGAGTCGCCAGGGAAGGTCTGGAGGCGCCAGGGGAGGCCTGGAGTCGCCAGGGAAGATCTGGAGGCGCCAGGGGAGGACTAGGGGCGCCAGGGGAGGACTAGGGGCGCCAGGTAAGGACTAGGGGCGCCAGGGGAGGACTAGGGGCGTCAGGGGAGGACTAGGGGCGCCAGGGGAGGACTAGGGGCGCCAGGGGAGGACTAGGGGCGCCAGGGGAGGACTAGGGGCGCCAGGGGAGGACTAGGGGCGCCAGGGGAGGACTAGGGGCGCCAGGGAGGACTAGGGGCGCCAGGGGAGGACTAGGGGCGCCAGGGGAGGACTAGGGGCGCCAGGGGAGGACTAGGGGCGCCAGGGGAGGACTAGGGGCGCCAGAGGAGGACTAGGGGCGCCAGGGGAGGACTAGGGGCGCCAAGGGAGGACTAGGGGCGCCAGGGGAGGATTGGGGGCGCCAGGGGAGGACTAGGAGCGCCAGGGGAGGACTAGGGGCGCCAGGGGAGGACTAGGGGAGCCAGGGAAGGACTAGGAGCGCCAGGGTAGGACTAGGGGCGCCAGGGGAGGACTAGGGGCGCCAGGATAGGACTAGGGGCGCCAGGGAAGGAATAGGGGCGCCAGTATGGGCAGCCCCATAAAGTGGACAAGTTGCAATACGTCCCTGAGGGCGGGAGACGGCCGGCCATCAAGCAAAAGTTTGACAATCGCGAAGCGCAAGTGTTATTGGTTCTGTGTCCCCCTATTATATATAGGGGGGGGTACCCGGTGGTGCCCGGGGTCCCCTGCCCCTATTATATACACGAGGGGTACCCGGTGGTGCCCGGGGTAACCTGCTCCTATTATATACACGGGAGGTACCCGGTGGTGCCCGGGGTAACTTGTCCCCCTATTATATACACGGGGGGTACCCGGTGGTGCCCGGGGTAACTTGTCCCCCTATTATATACACGAGGGGTACCCGGTAGTGCCCGGGGTCCCCTGCCCCTATTATATACACGAGGGGTACCCGTTGGTGCCCGGGGTAACCTGCTCCTATTATATACACGGGAGGTACCCGGTGGTGCCCGGGGTAACTTGTCCCCCAGTGTTCCACAGGCTCTCCCAGTGTTCCACAGGTTCCTTCAGTGTTCCACAGGCTCCCCCAGTGTTCCACAGGCTCCCCTGTGTTCCACAGGCTCCCCCAGTGTTCCACAGGTTCCTTCAGTGTTCCACAGGTTCCTTCAGTGTTCCACAGGTTCCTTCAGTGTTCCACAGGCTCCGCCAATGTTCCACAGGCTCCCACAGTGTTCCACATGCTCTCCATTGTTCCACAGGCTCCTCAGTGTTCCACTGGCTCCCCCTGTGTTCCACAGGCTCTCCCAGTGTTCCACTGGCTCCCCCAGTGTTCCTCAGGCTCCCACAGTGTTCCACAGGCTCCTCCAGTGTTCCACAGGCTCCCCCAGTGTTCCACAGGCTCCTCAGTGTTCCACAGGCTCCCCCAGTGTTCCACAGGCTCCTCAGTGTTCCACAGACTCCCCCAGTGTTCCACAGGTTCCTTCAGTGTTCCACAGGCTCCCCAGTGTTCCACAGGTTCCTTCAGTGTTCCACAGGCTCCCCCAGTGTTCCACAGGCTCCCCAGTGTTCCACAGGCTCCCCCTGTGTTCCACAGGCTCTCCCAGTGTTCCACAGGCTTCCACAGTGTTCCACAGGCTCCTCCAGTGTTCCACAGGCTCCTCAGTGTTCCACAGGCTCCCCCAGTGTTCCACAGGCTCCTCAGTGTTCCACAGGCTCCCCCAGTGTTCCACAGGCTCCTCAGTGTTCCACAGACTCCCCCAGTGTTCCACAGGTTCCTTCAGTGTTCCACAGGCTCCCCCAGTGTTCCACAGGTTCCTTCAGTGTTCCACAGGCTCCCCCAGTGTTCCACAGGCTCCCCAGTGTTCCACAGGCTCCCCCTGTGTTCCACAGGCTCTCCCAGTGTTCCACAGGCTTCCACAGTGTTCCACAGGCTCCTCCAGTGTTCCACAGGCTCCTCAGTGTTCCACAGGCTCCCCTGTGTTCCACAGGCTCCCCCAGTGTTCCACAGGCTCCCCTGTGTTCCACAGGCTTCCCCAGTGTTCCACAGGTTCCTTCAGTGTTCCACAGGCTCCGCCAGTGTTCCACAGGCTCCCACAGTGTTCCACATGCTCTCCATTGTTCCACAGGCTCCTCAGTGTTCTACTGGCTCCCCCTGTGTTCCACAGGCTCTCCCAGTGTTCCACTGGCTCCCCCAGTGTTCCTCAGGCTCCCACAGTGTTCCACAGGCTCCTCCAGTGTTCCACAGGCTCCACCAGTGTTCCACAGGCTCCCCCAGTGTTCCACAGGCTCCCCCAGTGTTCCACAGGCTCCTCAGTGTTCCACAGGCTCCCCTGTGTTCCACATTCTCCACCAGTGTTCCACAGGTTCCTTCAGTGTACCACAGGATCCCCCAGTGTTCCACAGGCTCCCTCAGTGTTCCAAAGGCTCCCCCAGTGTTCCACAGGCTCCTCAGTGTTCCACAGGCTCCCCTGTGTTCCACAGGCTCCCCCAGTGTTCCACAGGCTCCCCTGTGTTCCACAGGCTTCCCCAGTGTTCCACAGGTTCCTTCAGTGTTCCACAGGCTCCGCCAGTGTTCCACAGGTTCCCCCAGTGTTCCACAGGTTCCACCAGTGTTCCACAGGCTCCCCCCAGTGTTCCACAGGGTCCCCCAGTGTTCTACAGGTTCCACCAGTGTTCCACAGGCTCCCCCCAGTGTTCCACAGGGTCCCTCTTTGTTCCACAGGGTCCCCCAGTGTTCCGCAGGCTCCCCCAATGTTCCACAGGCTCACCCATTGCTCCACAGGCTCCCCAGTGTTCCACAGGCTCACCCAGCGTTCCGCAGGCTCCTCCAGTGTTCCACAGGCTCACCCAGTGTTCCACAGGCTTCTCCAGTGTTCCGCAGGCTCCCCCAGTGTTCCACAATCTCCCCCAGTGTTCCACAGGCTCCCCCAAGGTTCCACAGGCTCCCCCAGTGTTCCACAGGCTCCCCCAGTGTTCCACAGAATCATCAGTGTTCCCCCACGAACTACCCAACGAGGCGTGGACCATTAGCATTCATCAACCATCTGTTTTGAAATTTTGCCTCTGAATTGTCCTTCACCTGTTGTTCCACCAGCTCCTTCCCAAGGCCCTGGGCTCCATGTTGCGTGGTGGAACACACAGCTACCACAATCCTGAGTGGTGCAACACACCCTACCACCATTCTGAGTGGGGGCTAATACACCACAATCACCATCCTGAGTGCCCCAACCAACCCCCCTACCACTAATCTGAGTAGAGGAGCACACAGCTACCACAATCCTGAGTGGTGCAACACACCCTACCACCATTCTGAGTGGGGATTATACACCACAATCACCATTCTGAGTGCCCCAGCCAACCCCCCTACCACTAATCTGAGTAGAGGAACACACAGCTACCACAATCCTGAGTGATGTAACAGACAGTTACCACAATCCTGAGTGGTGCAACACACCCTACCACTATTCTGAGTGTTGCAATCATCCCCACCCTTTCCCCCTTTCCCCCGGCATCATGCTTGCTAATTCAGACATATGTTGACCATTCGAATGATCTGAATGTTGGCTGGTCTTGTGAATGATCTGAATGTTGGCTGGTCTTGTGAATGATCTGAATGTTGGCTGGTCTTGTGGATGATCTGAATGTTGGCTGGTCTTGTGAATGATCTGAATGTTGGCTGGTCTTGTGAATGATCTGAATGTTGGCTGGTCTTGTGGATGATCTGAATGTTGGCTGGTCTTGTGAATGATCTGAGTGTTGTCTAGTCTCGTGAGTGATCTGAATGTTGGCTGGTCTTGTGAATGATCTGAATGTTGGCTGGTCTTGTGAATGATCTGAATGTTGGCTAGTCCTGTGAATGATCTGAATGTTGGCTGGTCTTGTGAATGATCTGAGTGTTGTCTAGTCTCGTGAGTGATCTGAATGTTGACTGGTCTTGTGAATGATCTGAATGTTGGCTGGTCTCGTGAATGATCTGAATGTTGGCTGGAATTGTGAATGATCTGAGTGTTGTCTAGTCTCGTGAGTGATCTGAATGTTGACTGGTCTTGTGAATGATCTGAATGTTGGCTGGTCTTGTGAATGATCTGAATGTTGGCTGGTCTTGTGAATGATCTGAGTGTTGTCTAGTCTCGTGAATGATCTGAATGTTGGCTGGAATTGTGAATGATCTGAATGTTGGCTGGTCTTGTGAATGATCTGAGTGTTGTCTAGTCTCGTGAGTGATCTGAATGTTGGCTGGTCTTGTGGATGATCTGAGTGTTGTCTAGTTTCGTGAGTGATCTGAATGTTGGCTGGTCTTGTGGATGATCTGAGTGTTGTCTAGTCTCATGAATGCTCTGAATGTTGTAGGTTTTGTGGATGATCTGAGTGTTGTCTAGTCTCATGAATGCTCTGAATGTTGTAGGTTTTGTGGATGATCTGAGTGTTGTCTAGTCTCGTGAGTGATCTGAATGTTGGCTGGTCTTGTGAATGATCTGAATGTTGGCTGGTCTTGTGAATGATCTGAGTGTTGTCTAGTCTCGTGAATGATCTGAATGTTGGCTGGAATTGTGAATGATCTGAATGTTGGCTGGTCTTGTGAATGATCTGAGTGTTGTCTAGTCTCGTGAGTGATCTGAATGTTGGCTGGTGTTGTGGATGATCTGAGTTTTGTCTAGTTTCGTGAGTGATCTGAATGTTGGCTGGTCTTGTGGATGATCTGAGTGTTGTCTAGTCTCATGAATGCTCTGAATGTTGTAGGTTTTGTGGATGATCTGAGTGTTGTCTAGTCTCGTGAATGATCTGAGTGTTGGCTGGTCTTGTGAATGATCTGAGTGTTGTCTAGTCTCGTGGATGATTTGAATGTTGGCTGGTCTTGTGAATGATATGAGTGTTGTCTAGTCTCGTGGATGATCTGAATGTTGGCTGGTCTTGTGAATGATCTGAGTGTTTTCTAGTCTCGTGGATGATTTGAATGTTGGCTGGTCTTGTGAATGATCTGAATGTTGTCTAGTCTCGTGGGTGATCTGAATGTTGGCTGGTCTTGTGAATGATATGAGTGTTGTCTAGTCTCGTGAATGATCTGAATGTTGGCTGGTCTTGTGAATGATCTGACTGTTGGCTGGTCTTGTGAATGATCTGAATGTTGGCTGGTCTTGTGAATGATCTGAGTGTTGTCTAGTCTCGTGGATGATCTGAATGTTGGCTGGTCTTGTGAATGATCTGACTGTTGGCTGGTCTTGTGAATGATCTGAATGTTGGCTGGTCTTGTGAATGATCTGAGTGTTGTCTAGTCTCGTGGATGATCTGAATGTTGGCTGGTCTTGTGAATGATCTGAATGTTGTCTAGTCTCGTGGATGATCTGAATGTTGGCTGGTCTTGTGAATGATCTGAGTGTTGTCTAGTCTCGTGGATGATCAGAATGTTGTCTAGTCTCGTGGATGATCTGAATGTTGGCTGGTCTTGTGAATGATCTGAGTGTTGTCTAGTCTCGTGGATGATCAGAATGTTGTCTAGTCTCGTGGATGATCTGAGTGTTTACAGAGCCAGATGAAGGCTGCATTGAGCCTCAGGGAACAGAATAATCTCTAAAAGCCTAAGAGCTGGGAATGGCTGCGCTCGTTACGCCTTAACGAGGTGGTTAAGAGTTAATATAACAACCAGACCACGTGCCAGAGACGTCTTTTCACACTCTCTACTGTTCAAGAACTCTCGTTGAACACCGTGTGGTGTTCTATCGTTAACCACTTTACACTTACAAGGCACTAATCTACCCCCCACAGTCGAGTTATTTTGAATAATTCACTAATAACTAACTTAATAGTATCGTTAAATAATATATATTTAGGTCTTCGACATGTCGTTAATCGTTTCGTTAAATTAAAATAACTTCACTCGTTTTAACTTAGTCATCTAAATTGCATTAGGAGGATGAATAATATTCTCATGGGAGATTGCTAATGAATATACTCAGATTGGAATTAGAGAAATGAATAACTAATGAATAAATGGTAGAAAGAAGGATATTCTCAGATTACTTATTAAGTGAGTTATTAAGTGAGTTAAACATTATTTCATAAAATACATAAAATAACTGATTTATGGACAAGGGGCCAGGTTCACGAAGCAGTTACGCAAGCACTTACGAACCTGGGGCCAGATTCGCGAAGTCTCGCTTCATGCAGGTCAGCGTTCAATCCCCCGAGACCGTCCACAAGTGGTTGGGCACCATTCCTTCCCACCGTCCCATCCCAAATCCTTATCCTGACCCCTTCCCAGTGCTATATAGTCGTAATGGCTTGGCGCTTTCCCCTGATAAAGCATTCCTTCCTCTGATAATTTTGAGTTAAAATCCTTCTCAATTTGGGTCCCAATTAAGGAGTGCCATGTTGTTTACTCAGGGTGAAGGGTGCCAGGTTACTCACCCAGGGAACAGAGTACCAAGTTACTCACCCAGGGAACAGAGTACCAAGTTACTCACTCAGGGAACAGAGTGCCAAGTTACTCATCCAGGGAACACAGTGCCAGGTTACTCACCCAGGGAACAGAGTGACAAGTTACTCACCCAGGGAACACAGTGCCAGGTTACTCACCCAGGGAACAGAGTGACAAGTTACTCACCCAGGGAATAGAGTGACAAGTTACTCACCCAGGGAACAGAGTGACAAGTTACTCACCCAGGGAACAGAGTGACAAGTTACTCACCCAGGAAACAGAGTGCCAAGTTACTCACCCAGGGAACAGAGTGCCAAGTTACTCACCCAGGGAACAGAGTGCCAAGTTACTCACCCAGGAAACAGAGTACCAAGTTACTCACCCAGGGAGCAGAGTGCCAACCAGCTCGTCCAAGGTGCTGAGTGCCAAATTGTTCACTCAGGAGTGAGTGACGATTAGCAGTGTAACCCGAGTTCCTCTGACTGGCGAGGTGTAACGAGAATGATAACAACTTGATATCATACAGGAGTAAGGGAGCAGGGGGAGGATAGCAGACAGGGAAGAGAAGAGTGAAAGGGAAGAGTGGAAAAGGGAATTGGAACAGATAGAAATAACCAATTTTCTTGACTTGGAAAAATAAGACTGAAAATTTTGACTCAATAAAAAGTATCATTTTACAATTCTTGTCTGATATTTAGACGCCTCATTGAGTTGTTTGTTGTTTGTTTGTTTGTTTTGTTTGTTGTTTTGTTAACCCTGCCTTTTGTTTCTCCGTTTCTCTCCGTCTTTCTCCTTGTTTGTCGGTCATTTTTTGTATATACGTAAGACAGTTTGTGGTTTGTTTTTTTCATTTCTTAGCGTCAAAACAAAACTGAGTGTGTGTGTGTGTGTGTGTGTGTGTGTGTGTGTGTGTGTGTGTGTGTGTGTGTGTGTGTGTGTGTGTGTGTGTGTGTGTGTGTGTGTGTGTGTGTGTGTGTGTGTGTGTGTGTGTGTGTGTGTGTTTGTGAGTGAGTGTGTGAGTGAGTGTGTGTGTGTGTGTGTGTGTGTGGTGTGTGTGTGTGTGTGTGTGTGTGTGTGTGTGAGCTTTGTGGTGTGTTTGTGTGTGTGTGTGTGTGTGTGTGTGTGTGTGTGTGTGTGTGTGTGTGTGTGTGTGTGTGTGTGTGAGTGTGTGTGTGTGTGTGTGTGTGTGTGTGTGTGTGTGTGTGTGTGTGTGTGTGTGTGTGTGTGTGTGTGTGTGTGTGTGTGTGTGTGTGTGTGTGTGTGTGTGTGTGTGTGTGTGTGTGTGTGTGTGTGTATGTGTGTGTGTGTGTGTGTACTCATCAAGTTGTGCTTGCGGGGGTTGAGCTCTGGCTCTTTGGTCCCGCCTCTCAACTGTCAATCAACAGGTGTACAGGTTCCTGAGCCTATTGGGCTCTATCATATCTACACTTGAAACTGTGTATGGAGTCAGCCTCCACCTGTGTGTGTGTGTGTGTTCAAGACACCCACACAAGTCTGTACGTACACCTCCAAGACAACAACTGAACTATCTCACTCAACACTGTCTTATGAGTAGTGTTGGTCCCTCACACACACACACACCACATAACACAGTAATTACCTCCCCCTCAATGCATCAACAAGGGCTATGCATTGGGTCATGATTGCACAAT